ATTTGTCTGCTCCGCTCACTTGCACTCTTGACCGAAGATACCTGTAAAAGGCATTCCGACGTTCAAGTTAGGCATGGTTTAGTGAATTGTTTATCACAATTGAGTATTTTGGATCTAGTAGAACGTACTTAGCTTTTGACCTTGACCTTATATTTATAAGTCATCCCATGGATCCTAAACTAGCGCAGATCCAATAAAATAAAAATAAACTTACCTTTAGATTCGGTTAGTTACTCATAAACAACTTATCAATATCAGATATTTTTAGCTAATATGTTTTATCATTCTACTATTATTTTATCATCTGTTGGACTATTGGCCCAATAATAACTTTAAACGTTGGCTCAATTATGGTCCAACATCAATAAAATCATTTAACTTGGTTCACCAATGTTGATGTAGCGGATAGACTGAACGGTCCTGAGTGTTAACCGTTCGGTCTATACTATATAACATACATATGCCCCCCTAGTCCGAGTTAACCGTTCGGCTTTAGCCAATGTTAACTATAGGACTTATATGAGCTTGAGAAAGGTCGTTCTCGTTGTATTGGGGAGCTTATTTTCAATGTGCTTTAAGTATTCATTTCTGTCGGCACCAAGAAGCAGACTCTAGGAGTTCACTTAGAACGTTACCTTAAGTCGAGAAAACTCGGGTGAGAGTTCATGTAGAACGTTCCTCACCTAATGGTTTAGGACCAGGGGTTCTCGGAGAGCGTTCCCTGAGTTTTGCAAATGGAAGTGAGAGTTCACGAAGAACGTTCCTCACTGCTCAGTTTAGGACCAAGGGTTCTCGGAGAGCGTTCCCTGGGTTTTATGGACGAGAGTGAGAGTTCACGGAGAATGTTCCTCATCGCTTGGTTTAGGACCAGGGGTTCTCGGAGAGCGTTCCCTAGGTTTTGCGGACGAGAGTGAGAGTTCACGGAGAACGTTCCTCACTACTCGATTTAGGACCAAGGGTTCTCGGACAACGTTCCCTAGGTTTTGCAGACGAGAGTGAGAGTTCACGGAGAACATTCCTCACTGCTCAGTTTAGGACCAGGGGTTCTTGGAGAGCGTTCCCTGGGTTTTGCGATGAGAGTGAGAGTTCACGAAGAACGTTCCTCATCGCTCGATTTAGGACCATGGGTTCTCGGAGAGCGTTCCCTGGGTTTTGCAGACGAGAGCGAGAGTTCACGGAGAACATTCTTCACCTCTCGATTTAGGACCAGGGGTTCCGAGAGAGCGTTCCTTGGGTTTCTTAATATCACCACTCAACTTGTGATTGAATGAAAATTGTATAGCTTTATTCACACCAAAAGTGTAAGCACATAAGTCTTGTCAAAAAATTTATTCGAGACAAACATGACATCAAAATTTAACTAAAGTAAACGTGAGATGAGTCACATTCGAAGTGTTAGGAAGGACTTTTTATTATATTTTCTAGATGATATGCCCCGAACTGAGCGGTCAAGGCTACAACTACGACTGCGAGTTCGCTTATGTCTTCATTCTTCTTTTCTATACGGTCATTCGATACTTCTCCGTGGAGACCTTCTTCTTGATGGGCTTCTTATCTGTGGTTGTTCCTCCTTCACGTACTTACGGAGATGACCCGCACGAATAAGTGCTTCGATCTTATCTTTGAGTGTTACACACTCTTCGGTAGTATGTCTCAGGTTTTGATGGTATTGGCAGTGCTTTCCTCCATCAACATTTTTAGGTGAATGAAGCTTTCTGACCGAAAGAAGTTCAGCACTAAGGGTTTCCTCAAGAATTTTTGCCTGGGTGCATTAACAGTTGTGTAATGATCAAATTTAGGCGTTAGGGGGAAGTCCTTTTGTCGAGGATCTCCTCCCTTGTCGTTGTCGCCGAATGATCGTCTACCATCCCTTCTATTTTCTCCTGCAGAAGCTTCCTGCTGTTGTTTTTTCCTTGAGCTCCTCATGTCCTCAATACAAATAAATTTAGCAACCCTTTCCTGAAGTTCATCCATAGTTTTTTGTGGTTGCGCATATAATTTTTCAGCAAAATATCCTAATCTTAAGTGTGAAGGCAAATTGCTGATGATAAAAGTCTGATTAACCTCTTTTACTCGCCGTGCAGTTTCATTATACCTTTTCATAAAGGCCTTCAAAGTTGTCTCATCCTCTTGTTTAGTATTTACCAATTATGCCGATGTTAACTCTTGTACCCTATTGGATGCATACTGTTTCCCAAAAAGATCTTCTCAAGTGGCATAACAATCCACTATGTTTGGGGCAAGTGTGTTGTACCATTCTAATGCTTTTCCTTTGAGTGATAACGAGAAGGCTCTCTACACATAACCGGATCGTTGTCTGTGTAGAATGTCATTGCGTTCACAAATGTCCTGAGGTGATCATTTGGATCAGTCGAGCCATCATACTTCTCTAATATAGGAGGAGTCTTTTCCGGCATAGGAGCTTTCATGATGGGCACCGAGTAGGCTGGTAGGTCGCAAGATTTGCAGAGCGTGGGTATAACCCTACTATTTGCTTCCCTTCTTCTTTGACCGTTCGAGTTGGTGTGATGGGACGACATTTGATTGCGATCGTTCGGGTTGGTGTGATGGGATGACGGTTGATTATGGCTTGCCTTGTTTCCATTTACATGGTTTGACACTGAATGTTGGGCGGACTGCTTGAGATGAGTTTTTTTCGCCCTTAGTGCCACAATCTCCTATTCATGCTTCCGCTGCATCTCCAATAGTGCTTGCGCTTGGGTCTGCATCTATGCTTGCATATTCCTGATCATCTCTCTGGTGCTTTGTTGCTCCTCCATATTTCTCGTGGTCACCATTTGGTTTCTTCTGCTTCTCTCTGCCCCACGATGGGTGCCAAAATGTTCCTGTATGGATATGTGTAGGGCTGAGAGTCGTACCTTTCTGACGTAATCTTCTTGCCTTCCAATGCTTGAGTCGCCTACTCCACTCACTTGCACTCTTGACCAAGGGGTACCTGTAAAAGGCACCCTGACGCTCAAGTTAGGCGTGATTTAGTGAATTGTTTATCACAATTGAGTATTTTGGATGCAGTAGAACGTACCTGGCTTTTAGCCTTGACCTTATCTTTATAAGTTATCCCATGAATCCTAAACTAGCATAGATCCAATATAATAAAGACAAACTTACCTTTAGATTCGGTTAGTTGCTCATAAACAACTTATCAATATCGATATCTTTAATTAATATCTTTTAATTATTCTACTATTATTTTATCATTTGCTGGACTATTGACCTAATAATAACTTCAAACGTTGATTGACCCAATATCAATAAAATCATTTAACATGATTGATCAATATCGATATAACGGATGAATCGAACGATCCTGAATGTTAACCATTCAATCTATACTATATACCATATATTATGTAATATATTTGAAAACTTTAAATTGTACGTACAGACACGATTTCTAATAGGTGTAATTTATAATAAAGGAATTCTTATGATTGCAGTTTTTTTCTAAACTAAGGAAGAATGTTGATCTAGACTTAGTAGCCAATTTCTTGTTTTTAATATCATTTGACTTCACAATTGTATAAAAAGGTGATTTGTTAAATAAGCGAGTGAGAGAGTGGACATCCACGTGGCCTTTTCCCAGCGTTGTTCCTTCCTCTGATTGGGACGCCTATTTTATTCATGTCTCCACATTAAGTAGACTTGCTGGAACCTATATCCACCATAACAAACCCATATTTTTATTTTATTTTATTTAGAGGATTAGGAAGAAAGAAAGAAATCGTGTAAGAAAAAGTATTACATTAATTAAAATAAAATATACCAAACCTAAAATATGAATTCTGTATTAGTTTCATTTTTTTCAAATTGAGTTTTTTTACTTAAAAATAAAAACATATTTTTAAAATGATGCATCTCTTTTCATTCTGCTTAATTTTCACTCGTTGAAAGACTATTCTGTCTTTCCGAATGTATTCAACCAAACAACGACTTAAAGTCAAATATGCATAACTTAAAATTTCATTTCATATGGTTAAAACAAAAGACTATTGAGATTAATAGTTTATAATCCAAATTCAAATCTGTAGCTTTGTTAATCTTATAAAAAAGTCATAATTTTTATTAATCATTGCCCACGTACTCGATCTATTGTATTCTCCTAGTTTACCTGTTGTTTATAAAACTATTTGGTTATGATGTATGTATTGGTATTAGTTTCAATACTAGTAAATAATAAAAGATGATTTACCAAAAAAGAATAATACTAGGTATTTATAGGAACTTGAAATATGAACACTATCCGATAACGATACCGTTCAAATTCATTAAGCCTGAACAAATCAAAGAAGCAAACTCGATTTTCTTCCCAATACTAAAATGCACTTCATTTGGAATATAAAGAAAAATGTACTTTTACTCTATACATATATTTGAATTAATTTTAACAATATCTTTATTAAATGTATTCCTCACAATTTTTAATATTTTTAAGAACATTATCTAATAACTTAATAACAACATCGTCTAATTATGTAACAATGTTCGGCATCATATAGTTTAACTCTTCTTTCTATTGGTAAAAAGGCAAGAATACATGCATTTTGAAATAAGAAACATAACATCACCAATAAATGCCATGGATTCATCAAAGAAAACTAGATCAAATTTACTCTTGAAAGTTAAAAACAAATGCATTTGTAACAGAAATATTATTTTTCTATAGACTTACTTTGAAAATAAAACATTGAATATATTTCACTTAACTTCAAATTTAATTGTAATAAAAATTAATTTTATAGAATAAAAGAAGTTTAAAATCATGTTTTTATATACGGCCCGAACACAAGTGAGTAATAACAAAATTATAATACTTTGGCAGGGTAAGCAAACAATTCTAAGTTTGCAGTGCCTGACCTCCAAGCCCAGAAATATTAGTTGGGAAGACCTGCATGTAAAATTGAAAGGACATGCAGATATATATATATATATATATACTATTATATATATATATATGTATGTATATGTATATATGTATGTATATGTACAAGTATAAATTTTCTATGGTTTAATTTATTGTATCAGACTATTTACAGATGAGATATTAAATTGATATAATCCTGTTTCATGACCTATAGAAACTAATTTCTTACTTTAACCCATGTTTGTTGGGTAAATGCAGCAATAGCATTGAGTCCTCCAAGTTGGAGACCACGTTGAGCCATTCCCCAAGGACTGCACAGATCACTCCCTAGTTATAAACCAACTCCAACTGCATTTCCTCTTCACATTGTATACCAAGGACACTAAAAGCATTAAAAAATTATCCTCTATCAATTATGAAAACCAAAATATTAACAGTATGCAGGTTCTAAGCAACAAACATGATCGCTACTTAATTTCAATCCTAAATTGAGCTTTGGCTTTTTCTAGATTCTGAACCCGCGACTACCATAAACTTTACAAACGGGGTATTTAGATGAATGAAGCGCGAGCCTCTCCCTTCACTTCACCGCCAGGCATCTGTAGGTTGCATATATTTAGAACCTTCTGGCTAATTTCTGGAGAAAGTTCCTTCAAAAGATCTGAGACAGCTAATTTGTGCTTCCTCTTTAATTCATCTAACTCCTCTCTTTGTTTAACCAACAAATTCTCCAGTTTTGTTGCTATGAGATTGATGTATTCTGCTTCTGAATCTTTCACGGTTCCAGATATTACATTCACAGCAGATTTTTCACTGGTTGCACCTGATTTAATACTTTTTTCACTGGAAGGGGAATCAACAATCTCATCACACACCTTCTCATCACTACAATCACCAACACGATCATCTGCTGAAATATCACCATTCGCGGCCAGACTACCATCCGCAGCGTTTGCATCTGCAGCAGAACAAAAGTTTGAAGAACCAGCACGATATGGAGAGTTTCCACCAACTCCCTTTGGCGAGTCAGACCAGAACTTTCGACCTGAAGGTAATATTTCTAATGCAAGACTGCCAGGAGAAGTAATGGAATCGTGTTTCATAGGAGAGGCCTCTGGCCTACTTTCAGAGGTATAGCCTGAATCTTGACTATAACTGTCAACAGGAAGTTCACTGACGTTCCAACTAGGAATGTGAAACCGAATTTCAGAGTCAATCATCCTAGCAATAGTTGTAACATCTTGATCAGTTAGTTCCAACTCCTCAACCATTTCACTGGCAACAGAGGTTGAAGTGTCTGCTTCGATATCAAAAGGAAAGTGGATATTGCGAATATGACCTACATGGAAATGAACATCAGAACCAATGAAAAAGAAAATAGAAACTTTGGATAAATATAAGATAAGAAATTAAGAGAAGACCTGAGGAATCTGCAATTCTCAATTTTAAAAATATTGTATTATTATCTCTCCTCTGACCTTCCACCGTGAATTCCCTACTTGCCTCAGCAGAAGTATCCACAACAATAGCTTGATTATGAGAAATATTTGCTGCATTTGCGATGCATCAGATGGTAAACAAAATAATATAGTTAATTGGGAAATTAGACGCAAGGGATATAATTACCTAAATGATGGGTTTGAGCTTTTGAAGATCGGCCTACACTTTCATTATCATAATCTGACTGAAGGAAGGGATCCATCAAGAGGTCCTTCGCAGACAACCGTTCAGATACATGAGCAATACACTTTTCAATAAATGCTTTAACTTCAGGATCTGTCACTTTTGCCAATGATGCTGGCTTTATTCCCTACCGGGAATGGAAACAACAATAATAAACATAAAGATGATAAGTGAGAATAAGGGCCGGTTTAAGAAAATGGTTTCCGTTACCGTTTTCACCAATAATTGAAAAACATTTTTTTTTTCTGGTTTGTTTCCTGTTTTCAAAGATTTTGGCAAGATAAGGTGAAACTATTTAACATTTTTATAGTTCTTAACGGAAAATAGCAATGAAAAATGTTACCTTGAAGCAAACAAGCCCCTAAAATATCATGAGTACCCGTCAACTGTTGACTACTGGACAGTTATTTGATTCTTTGCAGAGTATATGAATAAGACTATGGAGCAGAAAAATATATTTCAAGTTGAGTTAAAAAATTTCCATGACCATTTTAAACCTTAAAAGCATGTCCAACCACATCTGTGGTCCTCTTCAAACATCTAAATTAGATCTTTAGCAATTTCCTACATAAGCTAAAACCTTAGATGATTCTTATCGAAGAGGTGTTAACCATTATTCCCAAAAGAGGAGTATTAGCACCCACACTCTGCTATTGGTTAAATTGTATAGGAGATTATAAAATTATGAGAAAGAATCATTAAGTAAAAAGTGAGACCCATGGAATTATGTCATTTGTAATAAATTCCAGTTAATAGCATAGAGTGTGTTCGAAAGAATGTGCTAATATCATTTCTCATTCTTTAGAAGCCAATTAAAATTCAGGTTCAAAAACTGGAGAAGAAGAAAAAATACCATATCAAATATTCTAGGATTTTTAAAAAGCTTTCATTGAGAAATGAAATACTATATCCATCTCCATTGAGATGAAATGAGCAATTCTAATATCAGCGTTGCATCACACGTAAGGTAAAATAGTTGGCAACATTTTGATAAAAGAGCTTAACTTACAGATGTCACTTTCTTGTATATTTGAGCGGCATTGGCACATTCAACATACGGGTACTCAACTGTTACCAACTCTAGCAAGCACATACCAAAAGCATAGATGTCAACAAGCTCGTTGTATTCCTCTTCGTAAAGTTCTGGGGCCATGAACTCCGGAGTTCCTAGGCTCACAATGAGAATTACAGACGCTTTCAGTTTCCCGCAGCAGTCCACAAAAGAAAAAAAATAAGGAGTATAACAATTTCACAGGAAATGTTACCTATGACACTGTGAGCTGAATTGGCCTGCTGGAGGATAGCCGCCAATCCTAAATCACCAATTTTTACCTCCCCTTGATTCCCATTGACAAAAATGTTATCACACTTCAGGTCACGATGAATGATCGGAGGATTATTACTGTGAAGATAGTGAAGGCCTTCCAGAATCTGCTTAGACCATTTCTTCACAGCTCTCAAATCAACATGCTTATGTTTCTTCCGGTATCTAAATTAAGAAAGTAAAACATAAACACAAAAAGCTCACCAACGTTACAAAATAAAAGCACAACAGAAGCCGAAAGAGACTCACTGGCGCAACGTTCCTGAGGTGAAAATTTCAGTAATGAAGTTGATGTTCTCGCTCTTGGAGTCAATCCATGAGTTATAAAACTTAATTATATTCTTATGCTTCAAAGTCTTGAGTAAATGAACCTCCGAATAAAGTCGCTCGAAATCTTCAGAGTTACGTAACACATCCGCCAGCTTAATCTGATTCCAAGCCACTTCAATACCTTCCAATTCATCAAACGCTCGATATCTACATTTCCATTTCACTGTTAAGGCCAAACAAAAATCCTCCCACCCCCAAAACGAATCCATGCAGACTGGTTACTGGTTATTTTAATCAAGCGTGGAAAAATACAAAAAACCGAAAAAGGATACACTTTCTTGAAAGCCCCTTTCCCTAAAACTTCCTTGTACTGCAGAATAATCCAGCAAACCAAATCAGATCAAGCGAAGCGTTTTAAAAATAAGTCGCAAAAGTAATCAATCGATTATTAATAGAATTAACAAGGTAAACGAAGGGGTATAACGGAAGGCATTAAGGATCCGCATTGAGGAAGATGTGAAACTGACCCGACCATAACGACCAGAGGGATCCACCTCGACGAATTCCATGTCAGGATCGTCGAGGTCCTGCTCGGAGGAATCCGGCAGCATTGGCAGAAACCCTAGCTACGTAGAAAGAAGTGCTGAATTGGGAAGAAAATGGGGGAAGGGAAGAGGAACGGGAATTATGGGTGTTGTTATTGGAATTTCGGAGAACGCGAGGAAACAATGCTAGCTCTGGTTCTGGTTCTGGTTCTAGTTATTGGCAGAGTGAAAACAGCACATATAATGGTACGATGCTTTCGATTGAAACGCTCCGTTTCCGTTATAGACTCGGAGGAGGAGGAAGAGGAAGGTGCGTGCAGGTGCAGAGTAAGTTCAAGGAGACGCAACTAACATGCTGTTAATATCTTATGCTGGCCAAGTCAAATACTCTCATTTATAGCGTTCAAGGCAAGTTCATCGGCTACTACTCTCTTATTTTTGTTTTTTTATTGCTCGTTTACTTCATAAACAAGTAATACAATATTAAATTTAAATTTTATAAGAATTAATTAAGTTGTAAATTTATGAATATTTTTAGTATAGTTTTTTATTAATGATTTTTTTTAGATTGGATATCTAAAAATTTATATATTCTAATTGAGTTTTTATTATTTAATATTTTTAATTGATTAGGTGATATGATAATTATATATTTTCATGATCTTATTACTTTGCCTTTAAAAATATGAGATTTTTTATTAATATAACACAAAACATGATTTTTATTATTCCAATATTGTTTTATACTAATTTCAAAACCATAGATACAAAGAAATATACAATTTCAAAATTGAAAAATATAAACAGAGTTCTTGTAAAAAAAATAATAAAAGTTTAATTAAAAACATTCAATGCTGTAATTAAGTTATTTTATAGTTCTTATTAGAAAAATTAAAATAATTAATGCTAATTAATAATTATACTCTTATTTATTTCTTAAAAAAAATACAAGATTGTTTTTTGTCTTTAGTTGAGAAAATTTAGCCAAGTACATGATTTATTTTAAGGTTTTGACATTTTCTTCATCAAACTCAATTTAAAAATAGAAAATATGTTCAGTTTGAGCTAAATTTGTACCCGTCCTTCAAACGCAAAATTAATCTTTAGTTTAGGTTAGAATTTTTTTTTTTTCTTAAAGTATCTGTCTAAACATTATTAAAGTGGATACTTTAAAAACTCGTGTTATAATAGAATGTTAACTATTAAAATTGCAATATAAATAACTTGTAATTATTAATTAAATAAGTAAAACATTTAATGTAACTGAGTTAGAGACAAAAACAAATGTTTCTTAAATTATACAAACTAAATAGAAAAATTTTGAAGCTGTTGGACGAAAACTAATAGAACCAAAGATAAAGTATAAAATGATTGTATTACATTTGCAACATTATACTGGGTTTATAAGATCTCCCATTTAGGAGAGAGATTAATATTATATGATTTTTTAACATCTAAAACAGTTAATTGGAAAACATCATATTGTTTTTAATATTTAAAAAATTAGTTGAAAAGTACTATTATAAAAAAATTTGATGTCGGATTTTATAATAGTCGATGTCATATATTTTTAGACATCAGATTCTACTAGAATCTATATCTAATGATTTTAAACATTAAAAAAATCGAGTTAAGAATGACATTTCCTATATCCTTTAGATGTTGTATTATAGGAAAGGTGATGTGATATCTAATTACACTATAGATTGTAGAGTGGTTGATGTATAATGATGTTTAAAATAATAAACTAATACAACACAAAGTTATTTTTATGTAGCTATTAGATGTCGGTCTCCATAATATCTTATCTCTAAAGATATATGATGTTGATCTCCCATAGAATCCATAATCATGTACTGTATAAAGAACTTAAAAAAAAAATAGTGTGAGAGCATTTCCTTTTCACAATTCCTTTCTACTCTCTCTTCTCAACCTCCTAGTAGCTGCGATGACCCGTGCGACCACCACCAAAGATAAATTTTCTTTCATTTATCTCAAATGCATGTTGTTTGGATGCTTTGGTATTGTTTTCTTTCATTTTCACCAATTGCTTTTGTGTAGGGACTGTGTTTTGGACATCTTCAAGTAGTGAATTCATGAGTCAAAAGGTGTTGAGAAAGATGGAGCTCCAAATGGAAGAAAGAATCAACCAAAGCATGGTAGTTATGGAGCAACAATTCATGGAATAATTACAACAATAACAAATGCAAAGAGCACTTGAAGAAAAACTTTAGTCCATGATCCAAAAGAATATGTAATTACCCATTGAAGCATCAACATGACATCATGTGAGCAAAAAAGGCTCATGCTCTAGTACAGATGCTATTGATTACTCTTATCAATATGAGTTATTGGTTGATGGAGATCGTTGTAGTGACCGTAGGATAATAACTTGGAGGAGGGAAAAACTTTCATGATGCTCCTCTATTGCCCCACTACGTGCATGTGACAATTGATGAAGTTCAAGATCTCCATGCTCGAGTGTCTGTGCCAACTTCAGAAATTCAATTTGTTGAAGAGGCCTTAGGCACATTTATAGCTTGACCTAAAGTATTGATCATGCCATATTTTGGCCCACCATGAATACTATATTGTTATTCTTAGTATTTTTATGTAACATTTTATAAATAAAGGACTCATACCTTTGAAAAGATTTATTTTAGTTCTCCCATCCTGAGAAGCAGGTTATGCGTCAACTTGTTATCCATGAAGATGATGACATGACAAAAGTAGACAATGATCGTCTAGGAAAGCTCATAAAGAAATTAAACAGGTTGAATAGAGGACTAGTAGAGTGAGAGCTAAAAGTATTTGGCCTCCAATGTCATGTGTCATTGTACATTACTCGAAATGATGCATTAGAGGTAATTGGAGGAGACTGAATGTTAAATATTTGAATCATACAACTATGGTGCATGTAAGATTTTTAATTGTCTTTCATATATAAATCTTGGAATTGCTACTTTTTAATATATACTTAACTTTCTTATTATAGGTACATGGACATAGTCATTGTGAACCAAGGTCAGACTTCTACTTATGAATTTATTGAACCTTAACCATTCAATCTTCTGGAAACACACTTGATCATAAGCAAACTTATTTACAAACATGGATATTTGAGTAAAAACAAAAGATATGTACCTTATGCATACCATGATTGGTATGTGTTATTGAATGTAATATTTTATTAAGTGATGCTAATTAATCAACTAATTATTTGTTATTCATGGTAGGGCCCATTAACAATTAATGGTCATTATACAATGATAATGTATTGTTGTATGATTTTGTTCCTTACATAAGAAGATGAAACCTGAGTTGAAATCCATGTTACAAACATAAGTGTTATTTTGTTTCGTATCATCTACTTATTTATATTAATACTAACCTATATTTTAAATGTTTCCAATTTAATTAGTTGCGGGTAAGACAAAGCACAACAAATTCAAGTATTATATCTAAAGGTTGAAACTCATTCATCTTAAAGTTATTAATTTTGTATGTCAATTTATGACCTTGATATATGATTATTTTTTGTCTTGTTTAGTGTAACAAACAACCAGATTCATGGGCATGTGACTATTATGTCATGTCTTAGATAAAAACCATCATTCGAGCAAGAATTAAAGATGATTGGACTAAGGTAATAACATATATCTTTCACATATTACAAATCACATCAAACTTTAAACATTAGTATGCGCATACATAATGAAGTTATGTTATTTTTGCAATTGTTCAAAAATCTCACCTACAATGTATGACACAATGAAGAAGATAAGACATGAATGGATAGCATGTGTATTGGAATGATGGGGTTAAGACCCACAATAACAATTGTATTTTTCTTGAAAACTCTCTGAACAAGTTTTTTATTATTTTAGTTTTAGTTTTGATAATTTTAGTATTAGTAGTCACATTTTGTGTTTCAATAATTTTAGTTTTGAAATATAATCATACTGAAATTTTTTTGAACTATTTTAGAGCATTTTTTATTTTTCAAGTTTGGTTAAATTGTAAATATAAAAAATATTTAAAAAAAAAAAGACAACATTTGTTAGTACACCAACATACGTCAAATACTCTCCATTAGAAGTGACACTAATTGGATGTCGGTATGTTATAATACTCGTTGTTAAGGGACATTACACTATGTGACTAACATATTTAAATGTCTGCTTTTAACAAAGTTAATTTGACATCTCGGTCTAAGACGTCAAGGATTTCTTCTAACATTAAACATCTAAAATAACCGACATTAAAAGTAATTTTTGTGATAGATTAGTTTATTAAAAAGTATATAATATACATGATTTTTTTGAAAAGATGAAAAAGAAAGTTTCAGGGTTTTGAGAAGATGGCATACACAAAAGGAATTGAAGAGTTGCAACTTGTAAACATTAAAAGATAATAATTTTGATCTTAAAAGTTTCAGGTAAAATCATAAATACATATATGGTAGAGGATAAATCTAAAAAGTAACTCACTAGGCAACAAAAATAGAAGTCAAATAACCCAATGAGGTTAACATTTTGACACATAAGTTGGATTCATTTACCAAATAAAATGAGACAAAAATGAAATAAAACACAAAACCACAATAACACAGTTAATATTAGTTAAAGGAACACCGACCATTTGCGCATGCCACCAAAAAGAAAATTCAATCACCAGTTACCTATTAAATTCACAAACGTAACAAAAAAGAAAAAATAAACACACGCATTAAGCGCACCGATTAATCTGCAAAATAACTCAACCAAATGAAAATGCCTTAAGGGCAACTATTTCCAATTTCAACCTAGTGCAAGAATCATCATCTTAAGAAGAAGTCATTTGCATAAATAAAAATAATTAAACAACCACGAAAAAACAAGACATTGATTAAGTCTATCAAGATGAAGTTAAGTGAAGAATAAAATATATTTTGATGATGAATCTTGATGAGATTGAAGATCTTCTATTGTGTGTTAGAGTGTAATTCCTTGAATATGTGTATTATATATAGGAAAGATGTGAATTTAAATTTTAAAGAAACAGATGTTATACAACCTTAAGTGATTTTTTTAAAATTTATGAATTGATAATTTCTTGTAATAATCTATTATATAAGATTATAATCAATTATCATTAGTGTTAATTTGTTATAAAATAGTTAGCACAAATTATTTCAAAACCTTGCTTCCGTTATTAATTGATTATTTTTTAAATAATCAATTTGGTGTTGATATGTTATCTTTTAAAATAATCCTTGATTATGTTGTTAATCAATTAGATTTTATTATTGCAAGTTATTCTTTTAGTTGACTTTAATGTTTTTCTTTTCTCTTTTCTGAGTCTGACTTAACATAATCTAACATTCTTTAAT